GAAACTTCGTCAAAGTTTCAGAGTTGGAATATTCTCTGCCAACTGTCCTCAAATCAATTAGAAGACAATTAAACCTTTGATGTACTTCAGACAACGTTTCAGTCTTTCCACAGAGAAAGCTTTTATATTGTCTTACTAAGTTTATCTTCATCGATTCTTATACCTGAGAGGTACCTTCATATTGAACATAGAGAGTGTCCCACATGGTTTTTGAGATCCTAAGCTTCATCACAGAGTGATAGACCTCGTTAGGAAGATACATAGCTATTATAGATCTCCCACGAGTGTCTATAGCTATCTTTTTCTTGTCTTCTTCACTCCACTGATGAGGGAGCTTAGGAATCTGTCGTTCAGGAATCGTGGCAGTCGTAGCTGTTTCGGGAACAGCCAGAGATATAACATATGAAACATAAGGTCCATTTTCTATATAGTGTGGAATTTCAAGATCCACAATTCCAAGAAGAGAGACATCCGATTCTTCCAGAGACTGAAGTTGTCTCTAATAAACTGGGGAGGTTTGGCAAATGAGCCATTGTCGTGAAAGTCTGTGCTCGTGTTTTGCAAATCATTTGAAAAGTAATAAAATAATCTAGAAAGAGAGATAATAAAATGCAGAAAACCAATTAAACAAGAAGAGAAGAAAACACTGCTCTGATACCACTTGTTGGTCCCAACCGGGTCTACAAGAGTTTTAGAAATACAGTTTGTAGAAGGGAGAATGAATACAAATACATAAAACTATCGAATTTAAAAATAAATATTGATAAAGAAAGATCAATACAGATTTTTGCAGATTGTATGCAGAAATAAACAAGGTAAAGATAACCTATCTAGAACAATCTAAGTTTACACACAGATATTCTTAGCAAAATAAAAAAGATTTGCTGAAAGATAAAGAAAGAAAGATGTTCTTCTTGGGTAAGAACTTTTAGAATACTTGAGTAGGATTCTTACTTGCTTTGAAGATAAGCATAAGTGTTCTTTTAGATGTATGCGTATATGTGTGTGTGTGTTCTCTACATGGAGAGAATACTCCTCTATTTATACTCATTGCATTAAATGCAATTAAGAAGGGTTTGAATGCGCGTCAAGCTTTTGGAGGAAAACTTGTCCTTTGCTATAGTGACTAGTACAATTGCCTATTCATGAGCAGACATCCTTTCGTGGAGTTGGTGGGTACTAGAGTCGACTAGTTAGCTCCGTACAATACTATGGTCTAGAAAGGGTATGAGTTTGTCCTCTGTGTGTGGAAGGACAAGACAAAAACAATCTTGCACAACAAGCTTCATTTGATCGCTGAATGCTGGAATAACACTGAAAGTCTCTTCAGCATTCATTGAGGCTTGGGCAGTCTTCACACATATGTTGACCAGGTTGTAATCACTGAATGCTACTTCAGATCACGAACGTGCCAGTCGCTATTATTCAGTTTCAGTCTTCGACTTTCACTAAAGGTTCTTTGGTGTGAGTTTTGTCTTCTTGAAGTATCGATGTCGCTGTAGGATTTACAATACATGTTTCAGCGATCACTGAACAGACTCAGTGATGATCGCTGGAACTGAAAGAACAGAAACATAATACTTCGAATAGAAAAAATGGATTATCATCAAATCAATGAGAGAGATGATCAACAATTACTCCCTGTTAAAATGATTCAACCACAAGTCTTGACCATCAAACTGTATGTGATCGATGGCAAGTGCCCATTTCTCGGACAACTTACGGGCATCCCTCATCAAGTCCGGGTGCCTATTACGCAAGGTACGACGGAAGGCATAGAAAGTGTTTACCTCTGCATGAGCCTCCCAGCTAAATTGATCTTGCACACACATTGTTTTATATAAAGTAAAAAAAAATGTTATATCAGAAGACATTAGTATCAGTTTATTACCAATAACCCCATCATTTTATCATTTAAGGAAAATAAAAAATAAAATAATATAAAATCGTTCAAAAGTAAACAAAATTCCAAACAGATTACCGACGGATTTTATGTTTTTATATTTTTAATTTTCTTTAAATGATTTTCTAGGTGTACGTTGCTAATCCGTTACTAATTACTGACGGACACGTGGAAAAAGCATTTAAAAGGAAAAATAAAAAATTATATAATATATGTCAATAATCACTACAAAAATGCTAGGTATCAGCGAGGGAAATTTCCCTCGCTGATCCGTCGCTGAAAGGGTTGTCCGTCGCTGATCCGTCGCTGATACTCCGTCGGTCAAACAGTCGTAGGTAATGCTATCAGCGACGGATCAGCGACGGAAATCAGCGACGGATTTGCGACGGACACTTTCA